AGAGTCACTTTATGGGTGGAGGGGGAGTTATTTTTTTTAATATCCTCTATATTCCCTTCCACAAAACTGCTCTTAGTTCACAGACGTATCCCAAATGAAAGTAACTTGGTGCTCCAGAGGAAAAGGTTGGTTCATCTCCTGGGACATGGCAAGTTCCCACCATTTTGCTCTTAGGGTGGGTTTATGGAACCAAAGTGTTGAGGAGCTGCATTACTGACATCCTTAATAGTGATTGCTTACTGCTTTTGTCTTGGCATGAGCAGTGTCTGTGCCTCCAGTGATGATCTGGCTTCAGAAAATTCATTGGCTGAATTTCAGGAAGTATTCCAAATGCTAGCACTCTTGTTTGTTCTCTTTCAAAGCACTTTGGTCAGAAAAATCAAGCTGGAAATTTTGTGCAAAAAGTATTTTTTGTGGATTTCCAGCTTCCTGTTGAGTTCCAACCAGAAGATGCTGTGAAACTAAAAAATAAAGGAGAAAAAGGAAACCTTTTTGAAAATACATTTCCTTCTGGAGTTAGTTCAAATGTTTCAGCAGAGATTGGCTTGTTCTTTCTTAATTTTTACATATGAAAAATGTAACAAAGGCAAATTAGAGAAGAATCCACATGTCATAGTACAGTTGGTATAACTGCCACTGAATTGGCCAACACCTGGAACTAAACCAAATATTTTTAAGTAGAAAGAATGAGTTGAAGTTGTACTGAAGCTAAGCTTGTGGCTGATTCCTGGTCTAGGTGCAAAACGTGGCACTTGTAGTTTCTAGCAAATCCTGCCTGTGTTCTCTACCTTTGTGCCAGTGTTGTTCATCTGACCTAAACTCTTAAATAAATGCCTGGATTCTGTGCAGTTTACAGGGCACAACTACAGTAGCCTTCTGGCTTCCAATGAGAGTTGAGCTAATAACAGCTTCTTGCTGGAACTGTAGAGCCCACTGGGTCTGAATTCACCCCAGCACTTGATGGCTGACTAGGTTTTTCCACAGGGAAAATTCATTTTATTTCTATAGGGAATCCTTGTGCTTATCTCTAGCAAAAATGGCCTCTCAATGACTAAGTACAATAGCTGTTTCCTCTTTACTTTAGGAGATATCTTGCCTCTTTTATTTGCAAGAGGCAATCGTTAGAGCAGAGTGGGGAAGCTGGAGATTTTCTTATTCCTTTCACTCCTTTAGGAGCCATAGGGTTAATTTAACAGAGCATTTTTATCTCCAAACAGTAGCAATGTATGTTCTTGGCATAATGAATCAGCTGAGTGGCATCAACAAAGAGATTTAAGCAGATAGACAGAAAGATAAATATCTCTTTGTTCTGCCTGGTAAGCAATGCATTGCTCATCATATTTCAGGTTGACTGTAATTCCGTTGTGAGATTAAATATGCTGCGTGTATTCCAGTGGTCCCTGTGTTCCTGGCAAACACTTCAAAGGGGACTGAAATGCAAGGGTGGCTTCAGAAATGTTCACAGAACCACTGACAGTCATGAGACTTTTATCTACTAGACTGAAACCCTGACTTCAGAGGCTGTCCTTGTCCCCCAACACAAAATCAGAATTCTGTCAAAACTGAGGATTTCTTTGTAGTGTGATCCCTTTGTTAATTTAGATGCGTTTTTAACCATCTGATGCTTACACACATTGGATGTGCATCCATATCAAATATTTTTGGCTAACTGTGCAGATTATTCAGGCCAGATACTCTGTGCTGCAGTGGCTTCACTGGTTGGCAGCACTGCCCTGGAAGCCAGAAGTGAAGGGTCAGTTCTAGAAGTGTGGGAAACTAAGAAGATACTGAGTGTTCCCCTATCATCCATCCTAGCCTCAGCAGGCAGAATTGAAACTCGTGTGGAAAAAATAGTATACCAGTGACAGGTTTGGGGAAGGTGATGAAGACAGTGGTCCCCTGTCAGAGATGCCAGAATAAGACTAGGAAGACAGACCAAGCATGAATCAAAATAGGAAACACCACCCCTGAGCACTTCTGAAAGTTGCGTGGAAGGAGAACTTCCATTTCCACTGAACACTGGCCATATCTAAGGGAGAAGGAAAGGCAGTAACGAAAGAATAACAGCAAAAGTGTCAAAAGGCATAGGACATTTTACCACTTACCACACAGATCATGTATACTCGCAACCAGGAGGAGCTGGTTCTTGCTGCCTAAGAATCTGTGCAGAGTTGCTTGTACCTGTATGATTCATTTCCACCATCTGTATTTGTGCCAAAATATAGATAGATATCCATGCAGGTGCATCCCTAGATGGAGAGACCAACAGACACAGACAGGTGGGGAGGCCTCCTTTTTCCATTCTGCCTTCTGGAGATCTTGGCATGTTTCCTCCTTCATTTATTCACTACTTTATTGACTATATAACTGGAAAAATGGAAGAAAAAAATTAAGAAAAAAACACTGACAACACAGAAGAGCAGAGGACAATCAATTAAATCAGATGGGAGAAACAAAATTAATGTTTCTCTTGCCCCTTCAGCAAGTAATTCTCATAGCTTCTGATCAAAGTGCTGAGGGAACTATAGTCCTGCTTCTTCCATCTCCTCCTCACAGAAAAGACTATCTCAGCTTCGCTTTTCAAAGCAACTGTTTTGACCTTAAAAGTGATAAGTACTATAGAAAGCATGAGGGGAAACAATAGTGAAGCTATTTTGCTCAGCTTCCTCCATTCTTTTAATCCAGTGACAAAACTGAAGCATGGGACAGTTGTGTGTTCTGGTCCCCATGGAAGTCTGTCTTGAAAGACATGAGGAAAACATCGCAAAAACAACACGTTTAATGATAATTTTTTTTTTTTTAATTCAACAAATACCCCAAGCAACTCTACCCACATTGCTTTCCAATTTTTCTCTTGTCCTATTGACATTGACACAGAAAGCCTAGACTTCAAGCAGTGAATGCTAAGTACCTACAAATCCCTAGATCTAGTCCAATTCAATCTGCCTTTGAACAGTTCAGGGAAGCTCCAAGTTTGGTCCAAATTGTCCCTACCTTACACTCCCCAACTCTCTTGTCATGTTTTATATGCTTACTGACTTTTATAGGACTTCCTGAGTAATTCTTCAAGGAAGATTGACTGATTTAAGGGGTTAGTCATCCTGCAGGTTAGTAAACATGACAGCTGGTTGAGGATTAACAGGAAATCATGAATAAAATCATTGGGATTGATAAGAGTTTATAAAGCAATTAAAGTTTTCTTGCAGAAAGTCAAAGAAAAAAGAAACATAAAGTGAAGGTCAAAGAGAAAGGTGACCTTCTACATGCTGACAACCACTGAGCCGTGAAATACAAGATATACTGGCAGAGCTAGTGTGAGATGGTTCACAACAAGGGGATAAAGTGCCAGAGAGGAGTGCAGGCCAAGGTGTAGGAGACTGGGCACAGATGTATGGGAATAGCTGTGGGACCAGCAGGTGAGTGTGGAGGCATGTCAACAGGGTGGTGTGCGGGTGCAGAGCAGGATTAAGATGTGCTGGCAAATTGGTCTGGGGGTGCTATTTGTTGTCTGCCCTGCGATGCCAATGGCAGAGAAAATTGAAGGATGAGACCAGGTAGCACAGATATCCTCCAATCCGTTCTCCAGGTAAGAGTTTATTAATGTATGACAGAGAACAGGCTCTGGTGACTTCCTTCCAATACATCACTGGGACTGAGGTTTGCTGCCTACTAGCTGCTTCCTGCTTACTCTCTGCATGGCTTCCCTTGCTACTGACTTTCTTCATGCACCATCTTACCCCTTTCTGTTCTTGCTCTTAACTTCTAGCTGCTTCTCCTGTCCTGTGAACCCCAACTGATGACTTTAACATTCCAGGTGTAAGAGGCTCTGGCACTTTGTTTAATGAACTGGAAATGAATTGGAGCCTACTAGTTCTGGAGAACCCATACCAAGAGCCATCTGTTGTAAGCTGCAAATGCTGATTGGTATTCAGGGAGCTGAGTTCCAGTCTTACGTATGTTACCTGGCCTCTTGGTTGATTACTGAGCTCCTGACAGCTTCTAATGTGTGTCACAGCAAGGAATGTCAGGACCAGTTCAGAAAATGCCAGTTCAGGCAGAGCTGGTTTGAAGGGAGGGAGCCTAGAGTCTGGTATGGCTTCATGTTTGCCCTGTGGGGAAGGGCAAGAAACACAGTGAGTGAAGGGATGTATTTTAGAATACTCAGCAGAATTTGTATTTTATCACAAGTTTTATAATCTTTGCTTTTTAATCGGATATGCTGGAGCTACGTGATTAAGGAAACATTGCAGTTTTCCTTTTATATTTTTATAAAACTTATTTTTAAAAAAATAAAATAATTCTTGTCCATGCAGTGAAACATTTAAAAGTGACCTGAATGTGACCTTTAAAACCTCAGAACCAGAGAGCAATAGAAAAGAAACCCCAAGTGCTGTTGCTCATGTCGGTGTTTTGTTAATTTTTAAATACTGTGGGTTTCCACAATCGTTTGATTCATGGCTTTTGTTACACAGGTATGTGTGGGAGTACATTTAGAAGTTAAACATAATTTTGCTGGCTGTGATAGTATTGTACAACTGCAGGGTTTCTGGTTTTGTTGATCTCAGCAAGGTATTCTCTCAGGACTGAAGGACAGCACTATGTAAAGATTATATGACCTGCTGTAGACTAATCTTATTGTTCTTTAGCCTTTGTCACTCCTCAGGAGCTTCTTAGCTTTGGGAGCTCTTATGGTGCTGCAATTGGAATTAAGTTTATTAACACTTGGAAGGAGATAGGGACTCTGCCCTTTCCCCACCCATGGTTTGGTTCATCTGGAGGGTTCTGGAACAACAATTTCCACTTGGACAGGAGAGAGACTGCTTCATTTTTATCTTATGCAATTCCAAGATAATATACAACCAAATATACATGCAAATAACATCCTAAATTGTAAAAAATAATAAAAAATAAAAAAATTTGAGTACTGACTAACCATGTGGTTATCAAACAGTGTAGGTAGTAGAAAAAAGTTTAATTAAGTTTTTTCTTTTCATTTTCAGAGTCTAACAGCCGACGAGCAGTGAACAGGGGCTACCTGGGTGGATTGCTGAGACTCTATCAAGACTGGCACCACAATGATGTCTCCAACAACTACATTTATATCCGTAGGGGTCTCCTACTCTGCCTAAAGCGCATCACCAACATCCAGCTGGGTAGGGAGACTTTCCTTGGTTCCCTGGGTATGGAGATTCTCTTCACAAGTGTGCAGGTAAATGGTGCTTTTGTGCTTAAGTGAGATGGATTGGTAGCTAGTTCTGGGTTCTACCTCACAGTGCAGGAAATTCTGTAGTTTTGTCCTGGGTTTATATAACATCTAAGTGGAAAAAATGATAGTGTTAAAATAAAAAGTATCGACTTTTTTGCAGTTAGTACTTCAGAAAAGCTTAAATGTTTCATTTTAAAACTAACTTTAGTTTCTAATTAACCTCATGGGAATAGTAGTTCAGGCTTTTTAATGCTTTTCTTTCTCCTGCCCTGTGGATCCTGCTGTCTGCTTGGACCTCCTCTCCCAAAGAACAGTGCAGTGTCTCCACAGAAGCATTGCTAAGATGTTTCATGAGATATTTCCTTTTAGGTATCCAGATAGATAATTCCGCCCAATCAGTCTTTTCCACAAAAAAAAGTGTTGATTTACCTAGGCTATTGCTAATGAGAAACATCCAGCAACTGTTTTCTCAGGAGGCCCAAGTTTAATCTTGTGAAACATTAATGTGGGTCCATCAAGAAAGATGACATGGTCCTGAGGATGGGTTCCCTGTAAGGTAAAGAAAGGGCAAGTAAAGAACAGTTTCCTCAGCGTCTCTCACCAACATGCTATCTTTTCCTTCTTTGGAAAAATCATTTATGGAGAAACCATCAGTTTTAGACCCAAGTGATTCCACAAGGAGTGTTTCCATTGTCACTCTCACTTGGCAGTGTGGTCTCTCATTCTAGCACAATCACAGACAGAATGAAAAACCTGTCCCCTTCTCCTCCAGAAAATTCATTGCCTTATGATCCAATATGTTTGCTTTTTCACCTTTCCCATCATTGTCATGAACAATCCTCCTGTGACTGAAAGATATTTCTTATTAGTAGTAGATGGTAGGTTGGTAGAGTTTTTCCATTTTGTTTTCCCCATGAGCAATTGACCGCTTTTTCAGGTGGCATGAGGTGGCCAGGATCAGGGAGTATGGCCTCTGTTAATGAGAAGTCCTTGGTCTGCAGAAACTTGAATAGGGTGGATGGCAACAGCTGCTTGAGGGTAGATGTCAGCTTATTCTCTCTCAAGAGCCTTCTACAGCACATGCAGCTTTCTGAGCTAACGTGTCCTGATAGCTCAGCCTGGGAGCAACCCTATGGAAAGTGTGAACATGGGGTCACCTTGGGAGACCAAACAGGAAATGACATACTATGACTCCAGTGAACACTGATAACTCTAATCCTTCCAAAGGTTAGAAATGGAGCAGAAATGACAGCTTCAGGGGCCTCCAGCTTGTGCTTTTTCTACTGTGTGCTAGCAGGGAGATCTTGAAGGAGTAATTACCAACGGTAATAAGTTGAAAGCTCAATGGTCCCTCACTACTTCTTTGGGATGTTGTCAGTCTTAGTGTCTCTCCAAGACATGAGGAATCAGAAGGAGTCTGGCAGCCCTAGGAGGTCTCACTCATGCTCTTCCCTATTCTGACCTGAGGTAGAGGTGGCTGCTGCTACTAAAAATCTTCATGGTAGACAGAAAATGGGAAATCTCTTCTCCTGAAAGGGACTTCAGGCTGTAGTAAGAGAGAATGAGATGGAGACAGGGCAAGACAAACAACTTCTACTTGGGAAAGCAATAGCTCTTTGTGTGAATAGACAGTGCTTTAGTGCCTTTAGGAATTTGCTGGCTGCAGGAATTAGCCTTGACCAAACTCTGAGCAGCTAATGAGATTTTAAAAGTTTTAAAATCTGGCTGCGAAAGTTCTGCTGAAACTTTTTTAATCTATTGAAATTGAAGCAGTTTTGCCAAGATGTTGTTTTAACAATCTCCAGTGGAAATCCTATTTACAAGGCCAGTTTTCAATTGAAACCTCTCTAGTTGCTTATTGTATGGGCTGATGGACAGCTGAAGTACCTGAGCTTTTAATAACCCTTAAGCCTATGTCTTTACAGAAAGAGCTAATAGTTCAAAAACTGTCTCCTCACATAGATTAGAAGTGACTGCTACTTTATTTTAGGAGAATTTAGAGATATTTTGAGTTCTGCTTCTAGCTGGAATGAAAAAAAGAATTTTAAATAACGAAATCCTTCATGAAAAGGAAGCACCTTCTGCTCACAATTCTTTTTCCAAGCTCCACTTAGACTTTCATGTAGTTAAATGGTATATTCACATTAGCAACTAGCTGGCTTTGTGTGCAGTGACAGAGAGCTGCCTACTCCAAGACAAGAAAACAGGTTTGTATCCACCTTAGGAGAGACTGGTGCATGGAACACTGTTTTGCTATTTATTATTTATCCATTTGATTTCTTTAGCTCGCTTGGCTTCTCTTCAACCTTCTTGTACTAGGGTCTACTCTAGCATAATATTATCCTATACTCCGCTCTATATTTTCCAGTAGTAACACCCATTAACATCATTATCTTTTGCCTTACTGTCATATTGAAACCTCCTTTTTTGTATACATCACACACACATAATATCTGGACTACTCCAGATTCAGTAGTGAAAAGATTAAGTGTGGAGGCTAAAAAGCAGATCCTCTGAATTCAGGTTAGATTTACATGGGTTCTCTGAGTTAAGGATCCAGTCTCTTCCCTCATTCACAATATCCCTCCACAAAATAAATGGGATAGTTTGCACTGATACAAAGCAGTCTCCTATCTATTTCTCAGGTGTCAGTAAAAAAGGCTTTTCCAATACAGTGATGGAACATTTTTCAGTAATCTGTAAACTGTGTTACCTTGGAGTCTGAGACCACCTTATGAACAGTAATGAAAACAGTCCCACAAATTCTCTGTAAGGTGTCTGAAGGCATGTTTGTACTTGTAACATATTTTGTTGCAAAGAAAAATACGACTTTCAAACAGCATAATTGAATAGCTCCACGTATGAAAAAGTTCATTGCCTGGATGAACATGCCTTGTTCTTGACTATCTCAGTTCACTTGGCAGCGAATTAAAATGGCTGGACCAAGGTAGGCATTTATACAGTCCTGCGTTTACTGTTCTAGTGAAAACAGAACAGTTTTAGTAAACCATAGTAAGACTGTTCAAGAACAGCATTCTGTTCCCACATGTAGACGAACTTTCCATATCTTTCCTTTAATAACAAGCAAAAAAAGGCAACTGAATACCACGTGAAAGAGTGAATAAATTGAAACACTGGAAATAGAAAACAGTTTTCCTTGGTGTTTGCTCTAACAATAAATTTTTCCTTGGAGATGCTTTCAAAATTGTATTTTTTTTTTTTCTCTCTCTTGTTCCTGACAGCCAGAAATCTAGAAATACATATTAAGATTCTTGTAGTGAGTCTTGTAAGCATGTCAGCTTTAGATGACTTTTCTAGCTTCCCTACAGGAATCCTGTTTAATCCCACTGAATCTTATAATGCTGTTCAATCATACATGAGAAAACAGAATAAAACTCTGTACAACCAAAAAAAAAAATCCAAATACGGACACCTTCCTATTCCTGATTATAATAAAAGTACTTTGTTATGTTCTTTGGTCATCTTCCTGGTTCTGCTGAATATTCTTTTTGTCCAGCCCAAATCCCAAATATGGGCTGTCAAACAGTGGCACAGAGTATCTATTGTGCCCTCTGGGCTGCTCCACTTTATCTGTGCTGAAAAGATATGAACACATTAAATGGTATTAGAAGGTATTGTAATATTCCTTTTTTTCCTTATAGCAGATTCATGCTGCTGATTTGACTTGCATTGCTGCTCTGATGAGTTAAGTCTTAGTCCCAAGCCACTAAAGATAACGTGCTGGTAGGCAGGGTACAACTCGTGAGCTTCTGTAGGATATGACATTGATTAGTCAGTCTGTCTGATGGAAGCTACCGTGCAGATACGCTGTACTTGGGGAAATCTGAAGGCTTGATTTTCTGAGCATCGCCCCTATGGGTTTTAAACAACTTCACCTTTGTGCATCAGCTGTAATTTCCTTATACAAACTCTTTATTTCTATTACATTGAAGACCTAAAACTACTATGATCTCTCAGACGGTCTTTGCTTTTAGTTCTGTGGGTTTGTTTTCTTTGTAGCAAAATACTAAGGAGTTCACTTGCATAGCATGGTAATAAGAATACAAAAATATTCTATGTCTTCAAAGTACATCTAGGCTGTCATAGCTCCTTACACTTCTCTTTCTTTCTCTGGATTGTAGAAGTAGAAAATGTGGGATACTGCAGGAATCCAGTATTTTATGACTAGGTGATATACAGTGATCTTTCAGACTAACTATTGAGCCTAATGCTTAACCATGTAGAATAGAGTACAGTGGGAAAGCTCTCCTTTGAGTCTACATTGCGTACACTGAATACAGTGACATAATGGTGTTACCTGTACTAGTTTACCTGCGTTAGTTTTGGCATGATAGCTGTGGGTGTAGTCATGGTGAAGACACAGAAGCATAGATTTTGGCATGTATTGGCAGCCAAAACGCATCCTTGCTGGATTTTTTTTCAGTCTCTATTAAAGAACATATCTCTTTAGTATTACTGTTTCCTGTTACCTAGAATATTTTAGCTTATACTACTATCATGCCTTCAACGTTACTTGACCATAACGTCTTGGAGCAGAGATACAGGATACTGTTTTTCATAAATGACATCCATTAATGGAAGTCCCCTAAGGTCCATGCTGGCCTGTATTTCTGTAAGAAATGGACTGCAAGAACTTGAGGTCTTTCTGTTCCAGACATATTTCTTTAATCGTAAAAGGGTGGGGTGAGTGAGGAAGGAGCAGAAAAAAACCCCATAAATATAAAGATTTCATATTCCAATCAGAAGAGTGTCTTTGCTCTGGGGGTTTGTGTGTAATAGGCAGGAAAATTGTGAGAGACAATTCTTAACGTTGTTCTCCTTTGGTTCCTAGGACTGTTTATCTTGCAAAAATCTGGATCCTGTCATAACCACTGTGACTCAGATTCTGAGAAAGTGCCACCCCAAGGAGCCTCTGCCTGTGGCGACAGTAAGAAGTTCCTATTCCTTCCCTCTTCCTGGGAACTATGCAGCTGAACCTCTGTGTGAGGGATCAGAAGGTAAATGGCTGAGGGGTGAGTTCAGTATGAGGAAAAAGAGTGTAAGAATTAAATGTGAGATCTGTGAGGTCTTCTCAAAGCCTGGAGATGCTTTTTGTAGAATAAATGAGTAAAGATTAAAAGAAACAAGGAAAAAATTACTTCTATTATATAAAAAAATAATGGAACAGACTAGGCATGGCAGATGCTGGAGATGCCATTGCTCCACAACAACAACAGAGGAAGAGACCCCTGTGCATGACTGTTTGAGGGGGAAACACTGCCCTGCAGCTTTTTCAGTAAAGAATTGAGGGAAACATTATCCCTTTCCCTTTTTAAAACAAAAGCAGATAGCAGTCGCACTGCATGAGCAAAAGATGTGAGCACTTGCTGAAAGGCAGAACTTAAGCACAGGAAGGACAACCTCTCCACAGTAAAGGAGACAGTAGAGTCCATGGTATGCACAAGCAATTTCTCTGTTGCTTTCAGTTTCTTATGGAAGATGCTCAAATACTGTAATGATGATAGCAGTAAAACACTCTAATCTAGATAATGTAGATTAAGAGCATCCTGTAATATCATTGCAGCCAGGCAGAAAATCTCTTTATTGCTTTGTAATACGAGTTGGATCCATATCACACTGACATTTGTCATGGTTTTGAAAGGCAGTGCTTGAGTCCAAGAGAATAGAACTTTAAAAAAGTGGGAGATTTAGTGCCAAATTCATTTATATTAGATTAACAAATGGGATCTGCTTTAATCGGGTTTGTGGTGGGTTGTAGTTTGATGGTGTGTGTGACACACACAGAAGAAATTGCACATATTTCTGTAGAGGACCTGACAGGGATATTAAGTTGAACCTTGATGCATCTACCTCTTTTCTACTTCTACTTCTACAGGTGACTATGAAAGTGATGGAGAGGAAGAGTCTGAAAAAGATCTGGATAATGAGGATGTGGAGAGTAAGGAGGAAGTAGGTGTATGAGCAATAGTTTCCTCATACTGGAAAGTAAAACTTTTAATTGTCCATTTTTATATCCTGATAAGTTGTGTAAGCAGAGAAAGTAGATACACATGTGGTCCCATGTAAATATACTACATGAATAATAGAAGGACACTTGAAAAAAGAAAAAGAGAAGAAAGAAGAAAAGCTGCAGTTTAAGAGTCCCCTGTATTTATCTTTATTAATTGCCATGCTTATCACTCAGGATGGTGTGGGTTTGGTGACTTCTCTCAGCAAAAAGACTGATCAGTGACTATTAGAATCACATGCACAGACAGGGATAAACGATGGATCTTTGATTCCTCTGGGTGTAGACCAGAAATGGCACATAGTAGGGGAAAAATTATTTATCATCTAGGAAAGACTAACCCCTCTTTTTCTTCCAATATCAGAGCATATTTAGGCTGTGCACCTACCCTCAGAAAAAGGTTAGTTTTTTCAGCCACATCTGGGCCATTTGAACCTAGATTCCTTTTTTTTTTAATTTGCTGTTGCACACAGATAAATAATATAATGAATTATTCAAGACTTTTTCGACTTCTCCCTTTGCACTTTCCCTGTCATGACTTTTCTTGCAAAAAAGAAAAAAAAAAAACAAAACAACAAAACCCTAACAGCTGAGGATGAGGGTGCAAACTTTTTTGTTGTGAAAACACACACATTCACATACGCAAATGTGAAGTAGTGAATGCTGCTAATAAGTCTTATGCACATAAAGTGTTTTGGGAAGGCAAATTAAAGAAATGAAGTTGCAAATACTGTCTAATTAGATATGATTGAGATTTCTGTGGAAGGGTGTTTTCATTACTTGCCCAGGCTTTTTCTCATCAAGTATTAAACTGATGTCACTCAATGAGAAACAGAAGTTAAATAAAAAAGAAGTTTTAAGAAACCCACATTAGCTTAGTGTCCTAACTTGCCCCTGTCTGGCTGTTTTTATCTGAATTTTAGAGCTTGTCAAGATGCTCATTAGGAATAAGGTTCACAGTGAATTTATCTCCTTCTTTAATTAGTTATTCATTCAGAAACAGATCCTATATGCCTCTGAACTATTTCATTATTCATAAGGATTTACAAAGTAGGTGTGAGCAGGGGTTTTTTTGCCGAAGAGCTTGCTCTGAATATGAGTTTTAAGTACTGTTTGTCTGGTGTGCTGGTCATATATCCCCCATGACAAATCTTTCTAAAGGGAAAGCAAGCAAAGAATGGATAATGAACTTTGTTTACCTTTTTTTTTGTATGAGATATCACTTGCACAATATTTCCTGGTATTGATGTGATTTACAAACACTTTCACGGCTACATAACACATACCTACACATACTAGTAATACCAGCCAAACAGAAATGACTCTAAACACTTCAGTTGGTAACAGTTCTGACAGTTCTATGAAATGAAAATAATCACATCAATGATCTATCCTTCTCAACCCAAATCTTCGGCAAGTTAGAAGCTACTTGTGCACCGTTATGCTGTTAGTGGCAAATCCTTTTAAACTGACCTCAAATACTCTGTGCAGCTCTCAGTTGCCTTTTCAACTAGGCCCAAGCAGCAGTTCAGACTCTGCTTTGCAATACAAGTGTGGCTCAGGGTTTGAAACGCTGTGGATGCTTTTGCATTCTGTCAATTTTTTTTAGGTACTCAAATACCAAAACATCAAATTCCTCTTTTTCACAATGTAGTCTTTCTTTTTTTGTCTCTATTTTCCATTTTTTTTTTTTTAAAATGACTTTAACAGCTTTCATGAGTATGGGAAGAACAGTTATAGGACTCATTAAATGAGTATGGTATCATTGGAAAGGGTATTAAGCAGAATATTATTTTAAAATCACATCGTGGGGTGTGTGTAATATACATTTTCTAATTCTGCTTTTGTAGGATTATGACTTGGAGACAGATGTGAACAAATTGAGGTCAAGGCCAGTGCTTGACGGGCCAGAGGAAGAGCTTGGACAATATGAAGCAATGTGTGCAGAACTCTCCCATAATTTTCAGGTACTATCATAGTGTGGCTTCCTTTATTTATGAATATTTAAGTGTTTAAGAAATACTTGAAAGGGAGTACTGATAAGAGATAACTAGACAAAAGAAGATCTAGATGTCTTATAGGACTGGAAAAACAAAGATTAAGATTTATTGCTGTAGTTTACTGGTGTGAGTCAAGAGTGATAGAAAAGGAGTGGTGTTTGGTGCATATGTGGCTGGGTATGGATTAACTAAGCACTATTGAAACAATTGCCACATGAGAAATCTGTCAGATAATTTGTGTCCTTGCTGGCAATTTCAACTACAATATCAAGATCAGAATGAGATGTGGAAAATAAATACTGTCAACTAGTGTTTTGAAGGAAGTGATGGAGAAGATTGCACTGCCGCTGAGTGAAATGTTCAGTTCAAATCATTGTTCTGTTGCAGTTTGGGACAAGAAATGAAGAGGAGTATTGCACTCATTACAAGTCTTGGAATTTAGGAGAGCTGAAAGCTGTGATTCAAATACAAATCTTGAAAGGGCCACTGGCTTAATGTATTCCCTATAGACACAATGTTATGGCATTTATTACCACCATAAGTAGCCAAATGGGATTAATTTATACACTTGCGTGAAGCCAGAGGTGGAGTTTTACATGACATATTGGCTTCCTTTACCCTGCTGTAACATTTATATTCTTAAAAAAAAAAAAAAGCACCTTATCAATTATCTTCCCTAATTTGTTAGAACAATTGTCTTTGGTTGGAGATGACTCACTCAGATGACTCAGTCTGATTCTTTTAGTTTCTGAGGACTACTGTTGAAACAGCTTGGTGGATAAAGAAATTCTCGCAGGTGGTCCATGGGCTGATTTTACTCTGGTTGTCTTATTGGATGAGGACAGTTCTGGGAGATCTGTAAATATTTTCTCTTTCTTCCTTGAAAGGTTTCCTCTGGAAGGAGGCAAAATCTGCCTTTATTTTATTTTATTTTTTTTTCTGCTTTTTAAATTTAAAGGAGCTTGAATCAGAATCTGAGGAAGAGAAGAGCTTGGAGGACAGAACTGAGCATCTTCTCTCTACTCCCTCTCTTTTCATTCCAAGTGCTACTTTTGTGAAACATCCAAACTACAGATGGAGAAATCAAAGTGTCACAGAGGTGGGACCAGATCCAGAGGAAAAGGATTTCAAAGTCCCACTGCAGAGCTGGACAAAGAAGGAGAAATGCAGATGTGATCTGATTGATGAAAAGAGAGATATTGCAGAAGTAGCCCAAGAGGCAGACTCCTGTGAAGAGGAAGATCCAGCCAGGAGTCACCTACCTACTTTGCGTCCTCTCCCAAAAGAGGCTGCTTGGTACAAAAAAATGTTTTATCCTGAATGTGAGGCTTCGATCAATCCTAGTCCTGGAGGGAGGCTGGAGAGCTCGGACATAGTGACAAATCTTCTGGAGAAACACCAGGGGGATACCCCATTCCATAGCCCTTGCTTCTACATAGCTAGGGCCAAATGTGTTAAGTCCATACCAGGCTACAAAGACTTGGCATTCCCTGATTTCTGGGGTCACCAGCCACCGCCTTACAGCAAGCCTATGCTGGAGCGCAAGTGTGGGGTTCAAAGGTGATTGTGCTTTAATATAATTACCAGGCTGAGAGCTCTCAGGCTCAAAACTGATTTATGTAAGTTCTGACTATAACATCTCTGTTTTAGGAAGTTACAGAAGAAATTTTGGGTTATCCAGTGATTTTTCACAAGGAGATAGGCCAAACAGCAGGATGATTTTATTTAGGTTTTCCTCCTGAAGAAAGGAAAACTATATCTAACTGGATTACACACAGGATTAGGAATTAGTAGGTTTATTCCCTATCTCTGACATGGGATAGTCAGTGGATGAATTGTGATCTGTTTGTGAGTTACTTTCTCTGTCTCATAGGTGAGGGTGGTAGTGGCAACCTTGGTTTAAGATTTTTATGGCTTTTGTGAATACATAAAGACTTCCTTATCTCATATTCTGAATGGTTATTGATGAAACTTGTTATTGATAAATATAACAGTGTAACTACATATGTGATGGGACTCTAAGCTGGTCAGAGCTCTGACATAGATTTACTAGTGGCTTTTCCTTAAAGTAAGCAGACCAAAACCCAGAATGAGCCGTGCATCTGTTACCCTGTTAGAAAACAAATGAGCACAAGTTCATTTTAGAGGTGGAGAAGACTGTGTCCTTACAGGATACATTTTTGCTTTCAGTCTTGCTCTTAATCCAGCCACCTTTGGCACGTATAATAATGGGTCCCATCTGGCTTTTTAAGGAAAAAACCCTTCTGTCCTCTTGGAGCTGTGTGTCTGTGTCAGGTTGTTGTCAGGCATCTCCCTGTCTACCATTCTGCTGCTGTGTTTCTTCTTGCTATGCCTCTCACTCTCTGGCTGCTCCATGGGGTCCTTCAGAAGCTTCTTCTCCTTCCCTAGCACGTGCACTTGCTTCTGGGAAGTCTCTCATAAACTAGAGAGCATTAGCAGGGAGGAAGTAAGTAAGCTGCTTTGCTTCCCTGCTGCCCAGCCTACTAGGAGAAGACAGCATATAGAGCATGCAACTCACAGAAAGAAATGCAAACAGGTCTCCCCTATGGCGCAGTGCTAGAGGCTGCTGTTTTTCTCATGTTATTTCACATGCCTGGATGAGGGGAAAGCTGTGTTTTGAAGCTGTGCTGGGAAAGGAAGCTCTGCTTGTAACTACTGTTTTGTCCATTCTATGTGTGGCTGTGTGCAATGACTTTAAATTTCTTTTTAGTGGCATGGGGAATTACTAGCAGATACCAAAGAGGCTGGGTTCTGTGCTAAACTTCAGAGTTGATCAACACTTATCAAATGGTATTTGTGAAGACCATTAATTTCTGACCTCTAGAGAGATAACAATTCTTTCTGCAGCAAATATAAAAGCTAAAAATCTTATTTAGAGGTAAAAATAACGTTACCATCTTCTCCTTGCACTGTTGCTCTAAAAGATTTGCTTCTATGACTACAATAACATGTGTAACCATACAGCTAAAATGGCAATAATCATATCATGCTTCAGGGCATAACATGATTGCTGCAAAGGTCAGGAAGAAAATCTGGTGTTCCGCATTTGATCGTCCTTAGGGATTAGAGAACTCCAGTTTAATAATGAGTAGAAATTAGCTTGTTTTAGAGTCAAGATTCACTATGAGACAGACTAGTAAGTTTATAAGTTATGGCAGATATTTCCTCATGGGGCAAGGCTAGCCATTTGGGAGATTGACATTGACTGGGAAGAACTGGAGATAAATCAAACTTGACAAAATACTGTAGAGAACAAAAATTTTACAGAATCAGTCATTTAACCCAAAAGGCAACTTGTTGTAATGGAAATAGAGCTGGAGATTTCTCACAGTTAAAAAAAACCCCCAAGACCCCCAAAGTTCACCTGGAATTAGCACATGGAGGTCCTCTTACCTGTCCTTCAAAAGAATTTCCTAAGCCTCTTCATATTTCTTCTACAAGATTACCCCACACCAAGTGACATTACAAATTGGTTTTTGTTTTGTTTTGTTTTTTTTCCTAGGGACAAAGTACTAGATGACATTCGCCGCTTAATCCAGCCAGGTGATGTGATAGGCAGAACTGTTTTTGATTTAGATGAGCCCAGGTAGGTAACTTAAATTGAATACTGTAACCAGGGGGACTGTCAGTCCTGGTTTAGGTAGTGAGCTTAGTTCACTTGTTCAGCTCTGATAAAGGTATAGAAGAAATAACCTAGGAGGCAAAGGCCCAAAAGGAAAAATACTCAGTAGGAGCAGATTCCTAGTACGTGGCTCTGGAGAAAAAATGATTTGTTGTGGAGGCCGCTGGAGCAGGAGAACCTCAAAACTTTGTAGACAGAACAAGAAAATCCATACATCAAAAGGACTGTATGGTGTCCCTGGATATGTGTGCGTTGCATGTAGTGATTTGGAGCAGGAGCGTGTAGGCTGACATTAGGAATTGTACCTATGAATCCAGACGCAGTCTCTCTGCACCCTGAAGTGGCATTTCCCATTGGGAGTGCACTTGAGTGTCTGGTGAGTGTCACAGGCTGTAGATGTACCATGGAAGGTGGGGAACTTATAAAAAGCTTCTGAAAACAAACACCCAGCCTTGTGAACGGTTTTAAGTGCTCAGATGTGGCTGGAAATTGTGGTCTTGAGAAGATGTAGCACAGAGCAGTTGAGAGGGTCTCAGATATGAAGGAACTGCATTCAGAAGAAGGATGAGTGACTTGGAGAACATTCTTTAAAGGAAAAAAAATGTGAAGGACAGTTTGAAGTAGGAGAGAGTTGGAAAGTTGTTCAAGATGAATTTAAGGGTTTTTGAGCTTTAGGAGAAGGAAACTATATAGATGAGGGAAAAGTAAATATATGGTAATTGTATAGAGTTGCATTGTGCAATTAATAAATTAATGAGAATAAGTCAGTGGGGAAAGTAACTGAAATAAAAAACTAAATATAAACTGGGACAAAAGAGAGTATTGAGAAAGGGAAAAGATGAGATCCAGAAACACTAAGCAAGAGTAGAGAAGGATGTGTGTTGGATAGGATGATCATGAATTTGCTCACCTCTTGCTACTTCTCAAAATCTTGCTTATAAAAAAATTATAAAAACCTATATTAATGTACTAAAGTTGCTGGGGAAGACTTGCTCTATAGGTATCCTTGCTTTGATTTACTGCAGTCACTCAAGCCCAGGTGCTCCAGGTTGTCTGACATTCTTCTCCAAGTTTGAATCGGGAAACCTTCGCAAAGCCATCCAAGTGCGTGAGTAAGTATGCCTGCATCAGCTGTGTCTGAACCAGCCTTTTTGCTGTGACCACAGTGTGAAATCCTGTAGTTCTCCTGGGTTCAGAAAGGGCTGGCCAGGGAAGCAGGTTTTATGACACAGAGTTTATGATGCCTGCCAACACTGAAATGTTATGGAAGTAACAGGAGTGAGACAGCAGAGCTCAAAAAGTTTTGACATGACTAACACAGTGCAAGTGTTTAATGGTGTGTTTGGCTGCTGCTAGCTTGATGGTGTTCTTTGACTCTCACAGGATATTAATGAATTTGATGGTATACCCTGGTCTCCTCAGTAGGTTCAGTGGCAGACTGGTGGGGTTTCATGGCCACCATTTTTTTTGTCTTCCTTAACAGGTTTGAGTATGACCTAATTATGAATGCAGATGTCAACAGCAACCAGCATCACCAGTGGTTCTACTTTGAAGTCCGTGACATGAAATTAGCAGTTCCCTATCGTTTCAACATTATCAACTGTGAGAAGTTTAATAGCCAATTTAATTACGGTATGAGTCCATGGGGAATTGGGATAGACTTTGTTCACAAGAATATCTTTTTAATGCTGTAAAGGTTTCAAATTTTTCATGTCTACAGGGGATACTGTAAGTTTAATCTTATCTGCCCTGAAATCCACTGAAAGAGTTTAGATTTGTCAAAGGACCCTTCTTTATCCTCAAGAAGACTGAGGAATAAGCAGAATATTAAGACCTAGGAGAGGATTTGTGGGGGGGGGGGAAATGTCACTGTTCTGTGTTTAGAGACCAAAACTGAGGAAGAACAGCACTGGGGCTGGTAGAGGGGGGAAAAAAAGACAATCTGTTGGAATTGAATGAGTAGCATAGGATTGGAAAGTGCTTCTAAGATTTAAGTAAATGTTGATAATCCTCAAACAAGTATTTATGATTCTTTGGGCTTATCCAGAAAGACGTTCCTGCCTTTAGACAGCCTGACACTTCTGCTGATATTAATGATAAAAAAAAAAATTCTGTTCCTGCCTGTGTTTGAACTTTTGTTGTAGTTGGTGGTTCAGGAGGAAGGTGACCCTGCTCAGAAATAGGCAGGGCAAACCCCAGATTACAATGCCCATTTTAGAAGAGAAATTTTCTTCTGCATGGAGACTGTGGATTGAATTCTTAGCTGGCATAGGCTGATTTTTTTTTTTTATTTGTTTCCATGGAGCTGTATTAATTTATACCAGCTCAAGACTTGACTCAGAATGTTTAATAGGTCCCTAATATCAGACTTTGCATTCCTCTGAAGCCCTGTGGATACAGCCTTCAACATTACCAGAAGAACTCTCTCAGGATCAATGTACCTAAAACAAATAGCTCTAGGAGTTAGAAAGACTTGTCACTTGTATTTATGAAACTGTCTGGATGAGTGGCATAATGAATTATAAGGCATTTGCTCTTTAACCCTAAGGGCAGGAGTTCGAGTATTCATATAGATCCTGAATTAAAATGATTTTTTTTTTTTTTTTGTCATCTTATTCCGCTTCCCTGAATTACCAAACAATTTAATGTTGGTATGTTTGGTAGCAGTTTGAAAATGAAGTACCTTAAGATCCTACTGTAAAACCAAATATAATCTCTGATACAGCCACCAGTAGATTCATAGATAGAAATTCTGGTTATTACTGGTGGAAGGTTGCTTATTATCTGCTAGTTTGGCTGTTGTCAGCATTTAATCTCATTTTGTGTATCTGAAATTGTACACAACTTGCATGTTCAAGCATGCAGTGAAATATATATTTGGAAGACAAATGTGAAATTGCCACCCGGTGTGAAGAGGCTAAGCCATGGCTTGCTTTTGTATGGCTTGTACATGGGATTGGCTGTTAAAGCAATTCTTCTGTGGGTTACTTCTGCTGCTCTGAGCAGGCAATGAAGCTTTAGCTTATCTGGCTTGGCTGAGTGAGGCTCATTACCCCTTCCAGCGCATGCATAATATTTACACAGACTGTTGGTAAGAGATGCTGTTTATTCACTACATTCCCTCTGCACTTCCCTGGGCTGATGCCCAGGCCATACTACTAAAAGCTTTCAGTTATGATGTAGTGTCAAAGTGCTATGGGTGACAATACTTCACAGCTGCTGGTTACTGATCTGTTTTGATTTTTCCCTTCCCTTTTGCTCTTGCTTAGATGGCACATGTAATTTTCAAATCAACAAAAAGCGTATTTAATTGAAATAGTTGTGACCAGGAGCAGAGCAAGTCAAGAGGTGCAGTCTCCACTTCTCTCCTTTCACCAATTTACTCTACCATGGAAAATAATGAGATTTCATCAGAAGCCTGATTTGTTTCTTATCTAAAACTGAATGTTTCCATAGGGGAAGTGGAAAGGAAAAACCGCTGTGGGGTTTTTTTGGGGTTTTTTTTGGTTTTTTAATTAAAATGAGATGGCAGACCAGTATCAACCATCACTCGGACGCAATTTGATATGGGTGTCCTTTGGACTTAGAGAAGGGCAGGAGCTGGAATTTGTGATGTTGAGAACACTTCAGACCCTGAGCTTTGCATCCCTTGTCTGATAAACTGGACTTCTGGGCAGGCCTGTGTCTCAAAACTCACCTGGTCTATGTCCTGGAACCAAACACAGAATTACTTCTTGTATGTGGCCCACGATGCTGGTTTCAGGAAGCAGTAATATAGAGGTTACTACTAGCTGTAGGCTCGTTAATGCTACCCCATGCCACAGGTGAGCTGGAAAGGCATTTCTGCTGCTACATTTGCCAGCTCTTAAAGTGCTGGAGAGTTTAACAGAGAAACCCAAAGGAAAAAGGGAAACTGAATAGCTGCTTATGGAAATATATCATCAGTATTAATGATTTTCAAGCATCACCTCCTCCCAACACAAGAACAGCTAAGAGAAGGCTCATGGGGCAACTTATCAACATGCATAAATTCTTGAAAGGGGTGTTTTTTCCCTTTCTTAAATAAGTTTTCACAGAATTGCTGTCAGCATTATTGCTGGGCTCAGCTGTGGCTGTGCTGGGTCCACTGGAGCTGGCTGACACCACCCCAGGGTAGAGGCCACCCTTGTAGCCCCCACCTCCTCACCAGGGACGCCCCATGCAGAGAGCTTCACTGGTGAGGGCAGGATCCTTACTGTACCTGTAAAAGAGCAGGCAGGTGTGTAGGGCAAAGGGATTTGGTACACAAACTGCCTACAGGTGGGCTGGCTTCATGGTGCTGTAATGTATATGCAGCTCAGATCAGAGGAAGCTTTGTACCTCAGAGCATGAAATGGTAATATTTCAGAGGTCAGGAAGAAGTCATCTTCTGGCATAATATGGTGGAAAGATGGATGCTATCATTATCAGCACTTATGACACCTAGGTATTATTTAGGTCTTATGGCAGGTTTAAAACCTTCTAGTTTTGCTTGCTAATTTCTGAAGGTAGGGTGCTGGATGCATTGCAGATTTCTAATGGATTCATTCAAGCATAAAATATTGGACTAACCAATCTACTGATATTTTTAATATCTCAATACCTATTCTTTTCTTTCCCTTTCTCTTTTTGTAAACAGAGCAGCTTGAAGTCCTCTTTGCAAAGGCCAGGCAGATAATTTGTTTTCTAACAAACTCCATTCAGCTCATTTCTGGAGGTGCTTTTTGTACAGACATGGCTATATCAGAACAAAGCATGGGGTTTGGGGAAATATATTTACTTTACATAAACTATCTGCAGAGAGAGCACAGATAAAAAAACCCAATACTTCTTGTTTAGTCTTTTCTTCCCCATCCCTGATTCTTCTAGCCATGGAAGTAATGTCACTTGAATCTCTTTTGTTTTATGTAGGCATGCAGCTGGTCCTGTATTCAGTGAAGGAAGCTCTGCAGGGCCGGCCTTGCTGGCTTCGGGCAGGCCATGATATCTGCTACTACAAGTAAGTGCATTTTTGGTGAAAAATGTGTAGCTTCCTTTCCCCTCTGTTCCCCTCCTGTTAACAGTATTGACGTTGTTAACCTTTGGTCACCAATGCCACCTATTTCAAACTGGTGCTAGTTCAATGTGTTATGTGTTTCCAGCTTCAGAAAACAGCTACAAGTGAGATGTCTGTATTAGATATCTGGGGAGAAACAGTATATGAGCAGAATTCACTTCCCCAGGAGGAAGGGGTATGGAAGATGCTCAAACATTGCTGATGCAGTCAGGAATACAAGGAATCTTAACCCACAAAAGTAGTCTAGTTGGCTTTTTCCCCTGTCCAGGAAGAAATTATCTGGATGGATTCATTGTTTTTCTTTTGCATACATCAACTGTTCTAAGAGACATTAGAGCTGAGGAGCTAAAAAAGGGTTTACATATACATAGAGGGATGTGTGTGTGTGTGTGTGTGTGTATATATATATGCACACACACTATGTACACCTATATATATAGGTAGAATGAGACATATACAAATACACATTCGTTTGTGACTCTCTCTCTATACCTTAGTATCTTCAGCAGCTTCCCTTCTCTGCAAAGACAGAACTTAAATCCTAGAAGACAAACTGCTCTGTGAACCACACTTAATGGCACCATGGCACTGTTTATAGACCTTGTCCTGACAGCAGAAGCAGTAGGGATTAGCCTTACTCACTGTCATACAGGAACTTTTATCTTTCTACTGGGGCCAGGCAACAGTGATGTAAAGGAATTTTGACAAGCTCAGGGCTGATATTTATGCAAGTTCCCTATTCCAGGCTGTTTCTGCAGTGTGTCAGCACCTCAGAAGAAAAACACTAGATCACTAATCTTTAACTTCTATCTCGGCTGGAGCTTGACTCATGTGAGAAACATTCTCACCCAGGTATCTCATTTTCATGCAGAAAACTGATCCCTGCTTCATTCTGGTTATTACAGTCAAAGAAGACAAGTGCAGAGCTTGGGGCTTCAGTAAGTTGAATGAACCCTGCTTTACTTCCTCAGGGCTTCCAAAATGCTATCCAGAACGCTTATTAATTATTTTAAAGATGATGATTTAAAGGATTTTCAGGACTAGGATAATTGGCATGTTTTGGACTAGAAAATCTGTGCAAAGTTGAAGTCTGGGGGACAAAATAGAACAAGAAAATGAGTTGTGTGAATAAGTGCATTTGATTGAGCACCTGAGCGGGATGTCTGGGAATGATGCAGCCTGGGGTGGTGCAAGCAGGAAGAGGAAAAAAAGAGGTCATATGTTGAAGATGAACTAGTAGCAAATTAAGGGTGAAGTTCACATACTTTGTAGCCAAATATTGCAGCATTTGGTGTTAATTTTATCCTGGTCTTACCTGCTATGACCTGAAAGCTGGGGCTGAGAATTCTTGAGTGAGAAGTTTTCTCTTTTTTTCTTTTTAATTCTTCTAATTATATTTTTCTATCATGATTCCTAGTCACCAATTTGCATCAACAAAATGTCTCAGTGTCTCAGGATTCTGTGGGTATTGCATTAGGCACTGTGTAAACAAAACAAAAGTCTGGTCCTTGCCCCAACCTTGCAGTTGAAGCACATGGCTTAGACTGCCCAATGACTGTAGATGGGCAGGGAAACGTAGGAAAACAAAAGTTGTTAACACAATTAACAATAATGATAATGTCTGGCATGGTAAGTAGTGCTCTCAGGACAGAGCTGAACTTTTCTAGTATTCTCAATGGTACTCCTTTCTTCATGAACTCATGTGCTGAGGCTGATTTTAGAAACTGATGGGCTTTCTCTTTGGAAGAACTTGTATTTGTGTTGTAGTTCACAATTTTGTTGTTAGGTTCATAGGTGCCTATGTTCGCGTGTGGATTTTATGAGATAATAAACCCTAACAATGACAGTGGGCTGCCTTGCAGAAGTAGCAGAGCCTCAAACTTGTGTTGGTACAAAAAAAATTCCAAGTCATCCTAAATATCTGTAATATCTGTTGTAATCTCTCTTATCTTTCTTTCTTTTTCTTTTCTTTTATTTTGTTGATTTCCTTTTGGGAGGGTGGGGTGGTGCTGAGGGCTCAGACTATCCTCTCTCAACCTGGCATCCTATCTGTAGTAATTTGAGTAGCTGTTTTATTTTGTTCCAAGTGCTCTTCACTAACCTCTATTCACCTAACCTTTACCTCAAGAGCAAACGTACTGTGGTGCAGTGGCTTCCCTTTGCATGCCTGTAACCTCTGTCTTCTGTGAGTATGGGCTTCTACTTGGGTAAACTTTACACGCTGATTACCATAGCAATGGCTTCTCATGTCATTAACAAGGCAGTTATTGTGCAGTGATTAAACAGCAGTTGACTTCTGAGATTAAGCCATGATTGTACAATTAAGCTTGTAATCAGATTCTTGTTCAGACTGTGTGAGAGAATGGAGTTATATTGATTTGGAATATTCTGTTTTCTACCTGTACATTGAATTATATGTCAACATATTCACCTAGGATAACTACTTGTTGTCTGTTTTAATTAGTTTATTCCAGGGTTACACAATTCTGTATATACGGGAATGCACCTACACATATATGCACTTTCACCTCTACTGAGACTTTAATCTTTTTGTTTCAGTGATGATAGAAGAGATTCCCAATCATGAGAACTTGTATGTGGGAGGAAATGTGAAGAAAGTATATTTGGGGTTGCTCAGACTTTGGCTCAGAATAGGAGGTGATAGGATTGATACAGAGCTATCATACTGCTTGTGTTTTGGGGAAAGAGCTTGCTTCATTTCCCTTCACCCTGACAGGGATCTTGGGGTGGGACTGGCACATTTTGAAAGATATCTCATCTAATTACTTTTACCAGGAGTTTTTGATAAACGTGTCAAAAGAGTAATATACTTACCAAAATAAGGAGGAACTCAAAGATGCCCTTAATTGCTTTTGCAGCAGGGCGTTTACTGAGAGCAACCTCTGAGCTGAAGGACAGTGGGAGGAAAGGCACATTCGCAAGGTGTCTGGGTGGTGCACGTTAGCTGATCTCTGCAGACATTCATCTTCACTGAGGATGGGACAGTTCACTCATAGAGATGAATGCTGTGGCACAGCTCTGTCATTGAGTACCTTTCCCATATGTCTCATGGGAGATTTTATGTTATGGAGACTATTAGCAGTGCTCTTGTCAAAAGGAAGCTGCGTGACACTTCTGCTCTATTTTATTGCCTCTCTGAAGTGATACACCCATGATAAACAGAGTTGCAGTTACTATAAGATCATCTAATTTACTTACTGTCTCGTCAGCTTTTATGTGCTGAAAAATATTCCTTTCCAGCAAATTATTTAAGGAACAATGGCAGCATGCTGAATTGGTGACAATGTGCTTGTGCCTTTGGTTTCACTGCTCCTTCTAAGCATATTATCTAACCTCCAGCTTTTCCAGACAATGGTTAGTTCACAGATAGTAATGAGGTACATGGAGTGTTTTGTTCTCAGATCACCACTAAAGACTTTGTTGTTTGGTGATCACAGCAGTTTCAGAAATAAGTATTTACTTTTCTCTTCAGCATCTTTATAGTCACATTATATGATCATAGCAATAGCAGGCCACCTCTTGGTTTTAAAGATCTCTACGAGAGGGGGCTGAGACAACAGTGTCAGTCTGAGAGCACCTGACCTTTACAATATGTCTGAAGACCTTAACAGTAAGATAGCTGTGGGAATATTCTACTTCGACTAGGACTCTGCCTGCAATCTTGTCAATAAAGATGCCTGAACATGGATTTTACCCTTGAAAGGGAAGTTGTGTGGTGCATTTTGCAGTTTCCAATGTGGCAGACTCCAAAATCACAGCCATGCCTCACAAATTGTTAAATACTGCTTTTTTAGAGATGTAAGAAGGTCAGGGCATGTAAAACAAAGACACCAGACTCCAGGTGATAGAAAAGTGTTGGACAAAGGGAATGCATCAGCAGATTAGAAGTGATAAATAGTTTACTTTCTGTTTGGATTCAGTTTTGAAATGGCCTGGAAATCTGAGATATTAATATTTTCTTTTGTCATTTGATTCTAAGCTGCTACAATACCACATTCCATCACCTACTAGTGCTCTGTACTGTAGTAAATGCTGCAGACAGGAATTCTAAGTACTGCATAGTGCTTTTGAATTCCTGAAGTTACAGTCCAACTCCTTTACTGACCTGCCTGTATCTTTGGCCAAGTGGCTTCACCTGTCTGTGTCTCAGTTTCCCCACCTATAAAGGATGGAAAATGAAAGTCACTTATCTGTCACCCAAAGAATGGGAGTAGATAAATGGCAAGCAAATTTTAATTAGTTGATGATTGCAGAGGTCTTTTAAGCTCAAAAAATTACTGTGCAGACTAAGTGGTAAGTAGTATTATAATTATTATTAATTAACTTTTCATCACAGCTATGCTAGAAATATGCTACCTGTACATCATTTCTGCAGAACAGCAAGCAAAATTATTTAACTATTACAAAATGACTGAAAGGCACTGTGATACAGCTTGCATGCTGATTAAAAATCCCACACTTTGGTTTCTTATTTTCTTTCCAATAATCTGCATATTAGGTTCTAGATAGCATGAGACTTTGTGAACATTTTTTGAAAGACAACACAAATAAGGTAGTCAGGACCTGATGTTGTTAGGTTCTTTTCTTCTTTTCTTTTTCTTTGCTTGTTAATTTGGGATTCATGCTGGTATGGTAGAGTATTGAGATGAAAAAGGGGTGAGGAAGAAAAACTATCAGCCTGATGGAGGAACAAGGAGGCAATGAAGCCAGCTTGGGGTGACAGCAGCAGTAGGAGGAGAGGGAGGCAAGGAAAAAAAATGCTATTAATTTTTGTTTCTTTGTTTATTTTAAAAAGATTCAGAGCTGCTGCATTGTTTGATGGATTGTGAGGAGACCAGATTATATGCAGTAGGAATACATGATTATTTACACTGCTTACACACGGGTGGTTTTTCTTTTTAATATGAGTGAAGAATATTGAAGCCTCACAAAGCTGTTTGTGAACTTCCTGTTACTACCAGATAGTTTGCCATAGATGAAAGCAGGTGTCAAGAAGTGGTTCAGAAGTCTGGATATATCTGTCCTGGGCAGTCAGTTTGCTGGAACTGCAGAGGTGCTCAAAACCAGAACGAAATGTGCTACTAAGCAGTTCAGTGAGAGTGCTGTGCATAGGTACCCTCAGGATCATGAATCTGAGCACTGTCAGGTGTAAGAAACATTGACTACCAGAACAGCATCAAGGTCAGAAGTGCCTGGTGTTGCAAAACCTCTGGGTTAAGAGAAGTTTTAAACAAGAGAGATATTTTTGACTGCAAAATTACAGACTATAGAGGGAGAAGCCTTTATTGGAGCATTAGGGACAGGTGGGAATACTTTCCCCATTGTGTAGATAAGATATTTAGGCAGCATCTGTCCACAAAGACCTGCTTCCTCCCACACCTCTGACTACAGATGGGAATTTGGATGGGAGGACTCAAAAGATCTCAGCACTTTATGACAGTTCTTTATGAATAAGGTCATCTAACCATCCAAGTGACACTTAATATAATAGAGGCTATGGAGGTGAGTACTTTCCTTGTGCACTATGCAAGAAATGGTTCTTAATTACCCTTCACTGTCAAAATTAACAGGAACTAGATTAAATCTCATTGTCCTGACTTCAAAAAAGGAAAAAAAATACTTAAATACTGGATCCACTTAAATAAATATATAACAGCTAAGTAGATGTTTCCATATTTGTGGTTTCCTTGCATTTTTCTTTTTCCTCTGAGTATCTTTGTCCAATATTAAGGTGGTTTATTTGCAAAAGAAATATTGGGGTGAAGGGTTCAGCTGAGAATAAAATCATAGGCTTTTGAGTTTGCCACTGTGACTCAGTGTTCCTGTACTATTGATCCTGTCAGTATCACTCACCTTATGTGTTTCTAACTATTAAATTCAAGTGAAAACTCAGCAGCATTGTGTTGTGTCTTCTTTATGAAAAAGAGCTGATTATTTTGGAGAATTTGACAAGAATAATTATCTTTTCTCTCCATCCCTTTGAATAAAAATGAACAGCAGCAAAATAAACTAGTATTGTAAATTTCAGGAGCTGAAATTGCATCTTTTGGTTGCCTCTTCTATTTTGCATTTTAATGCAACATTAGTGATAACATTTGTCAAAGAAACCTCACAGTCCTTCAGAATCAGAAGGTTCGGCAACAGCATAATTGGTGCAATGTGGGGAAAAATATAGTTTGAAATGTATTTATGGATGCAATTTGCTGTGAGGCTTTTCCCTAAAGTGCATGAATTGTCTCTTCATCTCTGCCGAAAGAAAACTTTCTTACTCAGTCTAAAGTAATCTCTCTATTAGAGTACATCTCCTGCAAGAGATCTGGTCCTGGGACTAGTCTGAGAAGCTTACTTTAAGATTTTGTAGTTTTAACAAAGGGAGTGGCAGGGTCCTGAGTACACTAGTAGACCTCGATGACCCTGAGCAGCCTCACCCAGGGCCCCTGTCTACATCCTCTGCCCGGGAGCTCTGCTGTCCTGGCCACTCAGTCCCTATCTGAGCTCCTTTGCAGTGAGGCTCCAGCTCAGTCACTGCTGTGTCTATGTTTTGCTGTGAACTCTGGTGATCTGGATCCTGACCCATGGATAGACCTCCTGGCTTGACCCTAGACCTTCCTCATCACCACCAACATGTCTGATGATCTGGATGCCTGGTTGAACCTGTTTGCCCTCCCTAGCCTAGGTGCTGTGGGAGGGGACCCTGGCTGGCGAGGCCCCTGCTCTGCTAACTTCTACATCAAGCTCAGCTCCTCATCTTTTAGGCCGCAACTGGTCCTTGCTGCTCCCTGATAGAGAGAGATTTAAGTCTTTGCAAAGGAGGAGTCCAAATGAGGATTTTTTGTGTAGCTTACATCCTGCAAACTTGTATGAGGTTGCTTCTCCTCTGTTCCTCTGTCTGCAGTATCTACCCAAACTCACTCTCCTCTTCCTACTCAGGAAAGAGCCTTTGATGATATTTCAAATATTTTTATATATGTCCTATTTTTAATTTTATGGGGGTTTTTTTTGTTTTGTTTTGTTTGTTTTTTTTTTTTAATCCCTGGAATATCCCTTTTTCTCCTGTGGTGGAACTGAATGGTTGGTTTGGTAGCATAATAATATTTTTCTAAATCTCCAGGCTTTCACAGAATATTTTCACAGGGCTGTGAATAGGTACCTGCATCCCTGCGCAAGGTAATTAGGATGTTGGAAGCAATACAGCAGTGTTAGCTGAATGCATCAGTTTAAATGTCTGGTCTGTGCTATATGAACTAGTATTAGTTGGCTCCTTATTTGTACCTTCACAAAATGAAACAAACTTATTTTCCCATGAGAGTGCTCCTGTCCCTCAGACTTTTCATAAGGGCAATTAATGACAAAACAAGGGGAAATGGGTTTAAGCTGAAAGAGGGGAGATTTAGATTAGATATTAGGAAGAAATTCTTCACTGTGAGGGTGGTGAGACACTGGAACAGGTTGTCCAAGGAAGTTGTGGATGCCCCCTCCCTGGAAGTTTTTAAGGCTGGGCTGGATGAGGCTTTGAGCAACCTGATCTAGTGGAAGATGTCCCTGCTGATGGCAGGGGGGTTGGAACTAGATGATCTTTAAGGTCCCTTCTAATCCTAACCATTCTATGATTCTATGACTGACTGAGCCTAGTACTACCACATACAGTTCTGCCTCTTAACTCCTTGCTGGTCTTTGTGAACTGTGTAAATCCCAAGACACTCTTGAACCTGGTGGGCCACCTCAGTCAGTGGTACTGAGCATCGTGATCCTTTAGCATCTCTGTCTAGTGGAGCCACGGTTTCTCTAATGTTCCTTCTTTCATACACCTGCAGGTGTGCTGCTGTGTTAGTGGATGCTGTTTAGCACTGTGCTATATCTTTTTACCTGTTCAATGCTGGCACTGGATTGATTGTACTTGTATGGGGCTTTCCTAGTCTTGGTAAAATGACTGGTTGAGTTTGGAGCCCACCTACAGCATGAGATGAAAGCTCATTCAGAGTAGACATTTCTCTGAATGCTTAGTTCTTTCATCGCTGCTCCAAATGTGCATCTCTAAGCGATAACCATCTACTTCCCTCTTTCTCCAGAAACCATTACCGCTGCAGTGCAGGTGCAGGAGGAGGCATGAGAGGAAAATGCTACTACACGCTCACCTTCAGCATCAAGTTCCCTCACAAAGATGATGTCTGCTATCTAGCCTACCATTACCCCTACACTTACTCCACAATGATGGTAATATTGATGTGTCTACCTAGATAAGCTAATGGGCCTGACAGTTTGGAGCTGCCTTGGGTATGAGATTTTGAGATAGTGTAGAGAAATTTCTGTATGGGATAAGCTGGGGTGCAAACCATTAGTGCTTTTACCAGTCAGAAGATAATGCAAACAAAAGACATCTCCGTTGCTTGGGCTGAGAAACAACCTCCGTTGCTTGGGGTGAGAAGCAGGGGGCTAAAGATAATGACAAGTCAGAAGTGCAAGCTGCCAGCTCCTCCTCTGACAGAAGGTAACAGCTCAGCGTTCAGAGCTGCATCCAGCAATACCAGAGTGCTGGACCTCATGTGAGTGCTTTGTCAGCTGTTTCCTCTGTGCCAATTGGAGTGTCAGCAGGCATTTGTGACACCTCCACCACTGCTGTCAGTACAGAAACTCAAAAAAAAAAAACAAGTCCAAGGTGTAAATTGTATTATTCAGTTATACTAAGTTTGCTTCCTGGGGAAGAATTTTTCTACAGTGTTTTCTGGCCAGGGGTGGATGGTAAGGGAATTTTCTGGGAAATGCATCCATTGTACTTTCTCTATGATTAATGTAGAAGAGCCCAGTGTTTGAAAGGAAGGTAGGGTAGGATAAAAGAAAAGACATCAGTAGTTCTGGGAGTAGCTTTGCTTTGTTGTTAACGATGAGAAAGATGTTACTGAAAAAGAAGACATACAGTTCCAGTAGATTAGTTCCCCTTCCTTCTCCCCCTAGTTTCCACTGTCAGCACTTTTTCTGGGCAATAAATGCTGGTGTGGGTTGGTGAAGTTTGGGCTCACTCTGGTGGGGTTTTTTTATTGTTGTTGTTTGTTTTATTTTGGGGTTTTTTTGCAATGCTATCAATTTGCCATTATCAGGCTATGCTTTCAAGGGAGACAATGTCCTCTCCTACTTACTAGCCATGCTCCTTGGCATGCCAGCGTAGTTAGGCTTAGATTAATTCACGCTCAAATAATAGTCTCTTGTCAACTTATTTGCATCTCATTATAGATGTTCAAAGAAAATGTTTCTAATATGGGGGAAAGGGCCAGTCAAGCCTTCAAAGTCCAGACTACACCTTCCAGTTCACTTCTCATTAGGCTTGTGGGTACCAGTTACTCCTCAAAAATCAGTGAGGAAGAGAGTACACTGCAGTAGTTCAGTCTCACCTATAGCCTTGAAGGCACGTATATACTACAGTTGCAGGGGAAAAAACAAATACAATACTGAAGAATTGGGTGGAGTTATTCACCACCATACTTTAATACTGAAATGTAGAGCCTCATCATTATTTTACTGTTATTGATTTCTATCTTCTGCTAGCACAAAAGCAAGAGAGGCTTTGAGAGTTTGTACGCTCTGGGAATCCCTGAATATCTCATCTGTTACTGAAAATATAGAATAGAGTTGAAAAAGATGTTATTCCTAGACTTGCAGGGTCTTTATTCCAAGTCTTGAAGTATTTCACTGCCTCTTCAGATAAAATGCTCACTGAAGTTAAAGGGAGTTTTGCCCCAGGAAAAGTTTAAATGAACTCAGACTCAGTAAGGACCATAAAGTTTGGTAAATGGGAATTATGGGTGGAAAAGATTGACAGATTGTCATGCCCAGCTCTTTAGCCAAAGCAAAACTGTTGCCTCTAATAATTCTAAAAGGCTTTTTTGCTTGGACTAATTTAAAAGTCACATGATGCAATTTACACTTTTCCATGTTACTTTAATTTCCACAATAAATAAACTAAATCACATTTGTGTGCCAGTAGATTTCATTTTAAAGCATTTGTCCAGTGGTGAAGTATGTTGATTTTACATATCGGGAATATATTAAAAGTGATTATGAACCCAAGGGCTCAGTTAAATACATAGTGCTTTGGGGAAGAAGATAAACTTGTATGTGGAGTTAGTAATTTGAGAATGTTTTAAAATATCATATATATTTAATAGTTACAGGCATATTTACAGGAAACACATTGCAGAATCCTATTTGAAATGGATGCACTCTGCAGTTCATTACTTTTTGTCCGTTAGTAATTGCATTTATTTTATGAACAGTAATTTATCTGTTTTTACATCACAGTGTTAATTGTTTTGATATCTAGCTGAAATCTCTGTAGCAGCTACATCCAATTAAGTTTCACTGGGTACCAGGAACATAAGTAAATTATTATATTGAGTTCTCTGTATCTATGTGGGGTTGTTAGATGTGTCTAATAATTGAATTTACTTTATAGAACAGTATGTTAATTGTTTTATGACATAGATAACTATAAATTTCAGTTCTGTGTTTGCACTCAAATGGATACTGCAAAAGCAGCTTGAAAGACAGTGAGCTTCAAGGTGTGAGAAGCAGGAACATCTTATCCCATAAACATTTTTTAAAATTTAGCCCTGATTTATAAGGACAAAGAGTTACCATGTCAGGGTTTTTCAGTGAATTGGTGTGTTTTGGTTAAAATGCTGTTAGGACGAGCGTGCATACTTTTTCTACTAAATGAGAGACAACTGGTGTTCCACGATGCTTGGCAACACCCTGCAATGGGATTACTTACACTAATCTTGCCACTTGAAATTGCAATGTAAACAGAGAGAACTACACGTCATCTGGTGTGTGGGTGGCACATGGCTGTGTCTAATGAGGCAATCAGAATTTGTTCCAAAAATCCATTTTATTTTTAAGCTGCCAATTCGTTTTCTCAAATTTCTTCAGAAGCTGTTGGACTTAAGAATTGTTTAAAACTCCCATAAACTTTGTGGGGACGGGTGAAGAAAATCTCCTTTTTAAATATCTCTTGGAAATACACTCTTCAAATTTCCCATTACTGATTGTACAGAATGTTATTTCAATGTAAAAGTCTTGGCTGCCTCTGGTGTGGAGTTGTTTCTGAGTTTCACTGGCATGTGCTTGACAGCTAACCAGTCGGGTCTATAAACACTCAAAGACGATGAGTTTTTGCACATTTCTACACAGTCCCTATTAAAATATAAGGAGCAGGAAGTTCTCTTTCAGACTTCATGTATGCATAGAAATTCCTTTATGGTAATAAGAAAAGCACCTAGGAACTGTGCAGGTAGATATGATGTACAGGTAGATATGCAGGTAGACAAGATATGAGTATCATTCTTCAGTGCAACTTCAGTGAACTGGATTGTATTCTGAATGGCTTGTGCATATTCGTGGGAAGTAAAAGGTGATGGTATTAACTGTCAGAAGAGAGAAGCTGGGAATTTAGCAAGAGATGACATTAGTACCAATAATAATACACAGCTAGTGGAATAAAATCAATTTTTATAGATCATGAACTCATTTATAAATCTGCTTCCTTGCTTTTTTTCTCAGTCTCATCTTGACATCCTGGAACAAAACAGGAACCCCAAGAAGGTTTACTGGAGGCAGCAGACACTCTGCCAGACGTTAGGAGGAAATCCGTGCCCATTGCTCACGATCACTGCCATGCCAGACTCTAAAAAAGGAGAGGACTTGGAGCAATTCTGTAAGTAGCCAAATGAAGCATTAAAAAAGATGCTGGCGACTTGCAGTCATGTCAGCAGTGGCAATGACAACCTGTTTTGTGCATATGTTGATTTTCTTGCCTTTCTCACTTTGGAAAAAGAAATCTCAAAATGAAGAATAGCCAGTTACAACACTTTTTAAAATTACAAATTTACAAAGGGAAGGAAGGAGAGCTGACACCATTTTATACATTTAAACACTTTATACTTCAAGTGTTTCTTTAACAATCTGAAACAATTACAAAGTTTGATATCAAATATCACCAACAGCAAGAAACTCTGTTCAAATAACCAGTTTAACGAGAAATTGGAATTTTTTTTTGTTGATGTTCCAAATGGAAATTTTTTATTTATTTTGAGGTCTCAAACTTTGGGCAGGGGAAGTAAGAAATCAATCATTCCCAGCTGTGGACAGCAATTAAATTATTGAATTTTTCTGATCAAATTCCAGCTTTTCCAATGTGCCTGGTAGATCCATCTGGACACAATGTAGGTCCTTACATTCTGAGTTAGTAACAAGGCATAAACTGATTTTTTATCTCTGCTCTTCACACATCTATAGCACAGGTTGAGAACTTTAAGGGAGTGTGGAAATTTGAATTGTCTTCAGATCTTTTGAGATGTTAAGCAAATATATATAATCTCCCTGAGTTATTAGGTTGGAAGTATTCAAAGGGATTCTGTGATATGAACCACATTTCCATTGCAGAATTGTCCTTTCAAGGGTATGTGGTGATACGTGAGTAGGACTCCTCATAATGTCCATGCCACATGAATAAACTAAAAGGAATCTCAAATATCAGAGTTGGTGAAAATTATTGCCAGCTTTCCTGGTTCAGGATTAGAGTACAATGACTGCAGTTATGCTGACATTATAGTGTAATCATCCTGAGCTCATCCTTTTTTATTACAATAATTTTATTATAAATTGAGCATTTACCCTGAATTAGCAAGTTTCTGAACATGAATGTGCTTTTCTAGGTTGAATTATTAAAGCAAAATTGCCAAGTACAGGCTACATGGGAATTTGTAAGGTGCATGCACGTTCACAGCTTTAATGGTGGATACTGGAGGCAGTGTCAGAGACAATGGGATCGTTGGTGTTGCCATTATTAGTATTTTTTACACTACAGTAGCACATACAACACATGATTAGGGGGTTTGGCTGTGATGGGTGCTGTCCATACCTGATGTGGAGAGGTAATTCCTGCCCTTAAGCACTTTTGTTTCATAATAATGGTGATATAGAACAGAAAAACAGTGGGTAGGAGTTGTGGTGGGGGGAAGTTGATTATATAAAGAAGCCTTTGGCACATTGCATCTGGTTAGGTGTTAACTGTTGACAGTTGACAGCGATTTCTAAACCTCATGGCAGGTCTTAATAGGGCAACTGGAAGCTGGAAGAAAGTTAAATTGGAATATTGTATTTGAGGGTTGGAGCATCCAGAAGAGACATGCAGTGAACAAGGTTTTTCTGTCCAAGGGAATATGACTTTCCAATGCAGATACAAAGCAAAAGCTAAGCTAATATTTGGATCTATCAAAACAAGGTCTTGGAGTGGGTTAGTCACATGTTGAGTAAATGTGCTGACACTTAAACACTGAATTTAAGTGTCTTTGGCTTTGAAAGGACTTCTTCAAAGGAGTGTTTTGTCATAGGAAAGCAAAAAAAAAAAAAAAAGAAAACAACAAACAGAAAAAACCAAACCAATTTTAATATCTCTAGTATTTTTGTAAAACAGTATTCTTGCTTTCTGACACACTCCACAACATGCCCAGGTCTTCAGTCATGCAGATACAGTGATCAGGATTAAAAACTCTGGAAGAAAATCACAGTCCTGTACCAATGGAGCTAAAGCAGGAACGATTAAGGATGATTTTACCTTTGGTACCAAACACAAGAGGGAAACATAATCACATATACTAATAATACGCTAGACTATATATCATCCACAGTCCTTGGGGCTAACCCTGGACTGAAACCTGACTGCGCCAGGTGTGGTACAGCATGGGAGAATGGCTGGCATATGTGTATGCAGGACTTACAGCCTATATTCAAGACAATTCAGAGGCACAGATGCTGAAATGAGGATCGTTAGGAAACGGCAACATAGTACTGACCAGCGCAATAATACCTCAAGAGTCACGCTGCTTTTAGGGAGTATCATGATATAAATGTGACAATACTAGGAGACATTTCCATTTTCTGGAGCATTGTATTCTTAGAGTGTATCAGAATGCATTTTGTAGTGTTAAAAGAGAGTCTGGCAGGTTTCCAAATGTCATAAACCTGTCTGTGAAGGCAAGGCTCAGCTTACTTATTCAGCACAGATTTACTGAAAAATTCATAAAGGATCTATGAACAGTTTGGACAGATACATGTTTTGAATGCTTCAGGCTGTTGTAATATTCAGCCTCTGGGTTCAAATCCCAATTGTGTGGCTGAAGTCCTCTATTTTTCAGTGAAAGAAATATCCCCTGCTTTCTGATCTTATGTGAATTCAGTGGGAGCTTGCAGTTCTGACCAAAATGCCATGAAATCATGTGTCACTAAACAACTGTTCCTCTGAAGCTTTGCAGTGCAACAAGATTGAGGACTTCCTAGATCTATCCATGAACCAATTGAACTCAGTCAAAACACAATATGTAGAAAATCCATTTGTCTGAACTGAAATAGAAATTGTTTGGGAGAAACAGTGTTGAGGCAAAGCAACACAGTTTCTTTCAAGTTTCCAAGACTATAAAAGTAAACACCAATGCTCTTAGGTGATGAACATATTTGTTGTTTTATCAAGTGGAAGAACAGCAAGGCGGCACACCATGTTTTATGCTGTGGGGTTGCCTCTAGGCAAATCTGAATAATCACGTTATGTGTTTATTTTGTTTAAGCAGCTTGGTTAATTATGGCTTTTGGGGATGCACTCAACCTAATTTGTGCTGTTTTGTGTGGCTTTGATCAACAGTTACTTCTCTGTTTCCTCATCGTGTATGACATGCCCTTCTGTGAAGTAGTTTGGCTGATGGAAGGACCTGTTTGTAAACATTTTCTATGCTAAAAACATAACTCAAAAGCAACCACCTGGAGTTAAATATGAAGGGACCAAAGGGTGAAGGTTTTCCTAGTAATAACTCCCACTGGTTTCTACAGTCTCCATGCATAGATATTTCAGCTTGAGAAGTGATGTGGAGCTCCAGCACTGGGGAACTTGGCACATGGGTAATAAATAAAAATTGATAGACCTTGTTCATTGGTTCTGGCCAATTCGTAGTTCTTACGAGCTACACTCATTTTGCTTTTCTATCAAATTTGTTATTTCTCCTTTGTACATTTGTTAATCTGCACCTTGAGAGGTTCTTTTCAGTAATGCCGGTGCCGAAATGAAAACACAAAGCTCACCAGGACTTCATAGCTGTTGCAGATAACCATACTGAAATGCTTAATAAATAAAATAATTAATACTTAAATCCTTCTCTTGTACAGACACATGGGGATTGTGGAACATCACTGATGGGTGGGTGAGGAGTATTGGGAGGACAGTGTGATCACCCCAGTAGGAATGCAGTGGGCAGAAGTTACTGTGGTACTGGAGGTGCTGATAGAGAGGGAGTGGCCCAGGGACAACAAGGGCATGGCATCCTCTGTCAGCAATGCTTTATTTTCCTTGCTCAACTCTTTCAGATTGGTCTTGTCAGGCTTTTGATTAATGTGGCCCTAGGATGGTTAAATTTGTCTGAGTTAAATTTATTAACGTGCACCTTGTTAATAGGAAGCACAAGCCATGCACGCTCGCAGGAACTGCACATTGACTGTGTAGTGAAAGGAAGAAAAATAGGCTGCTGTTTTCCTTCATTATGCCTTGTTTATGTGAGTCTTTGATAGTCACTCTAGGCTCCTTTCTCCTTCCTCTCTTTCTGTCTCTCCTCTATGCGACGGTTGCATACTTGAATAATTTTTATTAAATGCTCAGTTCTGAAACTGGTATGAAGAAAAAAAGAAATGAGCTAGGAACTCTCTGGCTCCTTGTGCTTTGCATCGCGATCATGTCACAGCACAGTTAAACAGCCCAACTTCCATTTACACTTGGTCAATTTCTGTGGGTGCCTGAAGACTGCAACAGAAAGTCTGAGTCCCGTCAGTGGTCCCTGCTGGGCTTTGCAGCTCCATAGACTTATACAAAGAGAAACTGGGAGGGTCTTTCATGTTTTTTGTTTTGTTTTAAACTTGCCCGTCCTGTCATCATATGAAGACTGAGCATTGATCAAGGAAGGATGTCTTTGCTACTAATTCTAACTGTAAAATCCCCCATAAGCTTGTCATAAAGACATTAGTTTAGACGATGAGATGAAAGGGCTGGTTTTTGTCTCCTCTGTCTTTACCGTGTTCTTCTTTCCCTCCTCCTTATTCCTTCTTCCAAAGAGTTAGACTCTGCAGATTTGTCCTTCCATACTATACACAGAGCTTTTCCTCAGAAGACTGTAGCTGTTCTCAGGATTATTCAAAAAAAACTAACCAAACCCAACAAATCAAACAAAACCACCACACACTCCAACCCTGCCCCCCCCCCCCCCCCCCCCAAAAAAAAAAAAAAAAAGAAAAAAAAAAAAGGACAGTTTTCTGTAAGCTTGTATGTGTGGTGAGCCTGCACACTCCACCTGCCTTGGATATTGAATCATTACATCTAAGCCTTTGAAAAGGAAAGAAGTTGAGGAGTGTAGAGGAAAGAATGGTTGGGCAGACACTTATTCTTTGATGACTTTGTTCCTGACTATGTTGGATCTAGACTTAGACAGTGCCTGATTAGTGTTAAAGGGACTTTTGAGGGGAGAACAATTCCTGGCAAGTTTCAGAGCATTCTCAAATCAATGCCAAAACAGTGAGAATGACAAAGCTTCTAATCTTGGTGCTGACTCCCAGCTTGATGAAGTTAATAAGTGCTTGCAGAGCTCTGATTTTCTTGGGTTGGTTGCACTCAGCCCAGTG